TGCATTGATCATCCCTCTCTTTACCAAACGAGCCTATTACGACTTGACTTTGGTACAGCGAGGAAGTTGCCGGGTCTCTTCGTCAGTCAACAAGCGGTAGGGACAAGAATGATCTGCCGCGGGGGACACGGCAGTACCAGACTCCTGTCATCTCACGGCTAAATCACAGCTATGTACCTCGAGGACATCTCTAGATGACCAAGACATGGGGAGATTTCACCAGACTGATGCGCCCGGATATTCTCCTGGGGTACACGGTGGTTGATGTCCCCGGCAATGGTCGGGAGCTGCCCTTCTGCCTTGGACTGCGGTTCCATAGACCTTGTCTCCTTCTTCCGCTCCCACCAAGCTGGGTCCCAGAGTAAGTCAAGTTGATTAGGCCCCAACACATGACAAGCACACTAATCGGACAAGGGAAGGCTTCCATCTCTCCTCCGACAGCGAGGTCCGCGCCCCGCTCATCTATCAATGCATCTACAATGGTGACACTACAAGGACATGCATGAAGAAACGGCCTAGGCCTAAGAGCAGGGATGATGACGAACGGTGGCGATGATACCCCCCTCAGTGGCACAGCAAGAGACAGACTTCGGGTGCTTGTGGCTCAGCGGGTTACGAAATCACGAACATGAAACACGGCATCGCATAGTCTGGCTTATCTGGCTATCTGGCCAGAATCTGGGCTATCCGGCCACGCCCCAATCACCAGCTTGTCCTACAGGCCGTCTTGCTTAGAAAAGGGGTCGGCATGCTCGGACATAGGGTTCGATCGGGGAACTCTCATTCGTTCATCTATCCAATCGTCTGCTATCCTCGAGCCAATCGCCTACAGAGGCAGGGAATCCCAAGGCATGCCAAAGGGCCTCCTTCCCGGCCCCTTGTTCCTAACGAGAAAGGTTCCTTCCACTCAGGCAAATATCGCCGCGATGAGATTCAAAGACGGGTATCTCAATCAGCATCAACGGACAATTTACACTGCTGGAGAAGTGCTGGAAGACCAATCATGTTTTCGCGCCCCTCAGCAGATCAGTCCTCTGTTTGAACCCTCCACTTACTTACATAGACCTCCTTGCTGCAAGAAACTACCCGATCCCGCTCATCCACCCCTCAGAATCCCATTCACTGAGATATTCTGTGGTTAACCCTTACCGCTGGTTCTGCATGGGCTCTCCTGGATGCCTGTGGGGGTAATTTATCCTTTCATATCTCTTAAGTTCAACCTCTTCCATGTTTTTGCCCTTGCTCACCGCCGCATGATGGCTCGTCCGCCAAAAGTTTGACATAAAAGCCGAGAAAGGGAAATGTCAACCTAAATACGGACTCAGCCGAAGTTTGCGGTCCGGTTTGATGGCTGTTTTCCGTCAAGGTATCTCTGGACGGCTTCCCCCTTTCCTTCCTTTCTATCAGCTCGAACTTCTCGTTGTGTACCATGTCTCTGAACAACACCAATGCCCAGTAAATACTCGCACAGCGTCGTCCTGGCCAGTTACTCCAGTCGGGGTATCGTCGGCCTGGCCAACGACGAGAAACGCGGGAACCAGAAGCCAGTCAAGCCATCTCGGGTTCTGGCCGGTAAATCGCCACAACCTCATCAACCTGATTTGGCGATGAAGCCAGGGCCACGGGCTTCTCCTGGATCTTCGTATCATGCTCGTCTTTCGACACTGTCGCCAAAATCTCCAGCACAAAGATTTTTGAAAGGGAAATATGGTCTCTTTACTGGTAGCACGACAACCACCCAACGGGATTCAAAGAAGGAAATATCCACCAATGTCAGATCAATGGGTGCGACTGAGGGATCTCGTCCGTCGACCAGGGAGCGAATGGTAATCTTGGACTCGGACAGTGAAGAGACTGTGGGCGCAATCGCAGTCAACTCCTTTCAGTCTCACGTCTCTGGTCCAGCCAATGGAGTATTTCCGGCTTGTTCTCCGACAGCCTCACCACCAGGTCCCCAAGCTGAAAGTCCGGACCTAAATACCCACCGAAGTCCATCTAGAGCAGGGGAAACCCTACCAGACCATACCGATAGTGGATTCTTGAGCCTTGATGAGACACCAGCCTCGCACGTTGCTGCCCAGAAGTTGTCAATTGGACAATCTGCAATCCGATCCAAGAGACGATCAAAGTCTTCAAAGGCAGTCCGCCACAATGATACGCTGCACAACAATCCCAGGCTTCAGACTCCGGCACAACCCTCGCGGCTCGAAGAAACTGGCCGACAGACTCTCAGCCGAGCAAATATCAGTTTCATTGACTTGTCTGATGATGAGGTCAGTGGTAAATCCCACGCACATACCCCTCGCAGCTCACTGGATAAATCACCGTCAACGCATATCTTGACCTCAGAAGTTGTCCTACCAGGTTCCACACTTTTCAATGCATCAACCGGCCTCCGCCTCCATGATATTGATGGCAGCCTTACTCTTGGAACGAGGCGAGCGACACAAGACAAATTGGCGAATGGAACAATTTGGCATGGTAGTCTACCTGAACCGCAAGTCCGAAAGCGGCCTCTCAGTATGGGTAACAGTTATCCCGAAGCCCTACCTTTACACAAAACCGTTATGCTCCGCAGAAGACAGACCGAGGAATTCATAAAGCCTGCAGTCTCGCGCAGTCCGACTCTAGAGCCTCGCGATCTATCTTGGTTACTGCTAGACGTGGGACTGGACGACCAATTGCAAGATGATGAGCATGACGAGGATCAGACGCTTCCACACATTACTTTGGAGTCCCCCGATTCTGAAGCTCACGCGGAGGTCACGATTGCAGGCCTGGAATCTAGCTCCTCCTCGCCTCACCCTTCAAGACTGGAGCATGTTGAGATTGACTTCTCTAAACGTGCTAACAGAACCAAGAACGGATTATCCTACTATCTCCCGGACGATGCTACGACGAACGTGTATCTTCACAGACACAAATATAACTCGGCACATGACCATCCGGCTCAAAATGACCTTAGGCGAAAGTCGCTACCGCCATTGAGTACCTCATGGTCTAGTCGGAGAGGAGAGGAAAACTTGTGGTCACCCAACCCAGTTAAATCAGCTCCGACGTCTGCTCAGCGTGAGGTCCGGCATCAAGCAAGAATCCCGGTCCTCAATTCCAGTCCCGCCGAGCCCGAACCCGAACTCCAGACTTGTCCAGTCACAGAGTTGTCTGATCAACCCACTTTAAGGCCCAAATTGAAATCAGAAGAAGAGATGAGGATGAAGATCCCGACTCCTATCCCATCCCCTTCACAGTCGGAGACATCTCCTAAAATGTCAGCTAGGGGGATGGTCAAGTCATCATCGGGGCCGATCCATCGAGCACATCGAGTATCATGGCCTGCAACCGTGCCCGAATTCGGGGTGCCCTCAATCACTCGACATGATGAGTCGACACCGCACATCCATGAGCAGTGCGAGTCAACCCTTGACTCACGATTGACATCAGCGCCCATACAGAAACAGAAAATCGGGCCGAACGCGATACGGAAACTGGCATCCTTTCCCCGGTTCACAAGGCTGGGAATTCCTGCACAACAGGAGAAAGACGAGGCGCATACCAGGGTGATGGAGAACCAGCAAGAAGAAGATGATAATTGGGCGTTACCGAGCATCCCTATTTCAAAGGAAGCTGCTTCACGGGCCAAACTATTGGAGTTATTGGCGATAGGGGCGGAGGCTGAATCCAGGCACGAATCCAAAGCATCTAAACCCTGGCGTGAGTATCCTCCGGATCTGAGCAGTCAATTGCGAAATGTGGACAGCCAGACTGGACACAGCAGCGACCTAGACGATGTCATCTCTCTGTTTTCTGATGCCCATGACATTCCAATCGACATCCAGGCCGACTACTCACACGACGTTCACACCATGGGAGACGAGGTAGAGGATGATCCCGATGCAGCTCTTCCTCCACCAGATATATCGCGCCACCGGGCAGATCGTTCTAGCTCGCGAAATGCGCATAATCGTCTTTCCCAATCTTCTTTCACCGCGCTGCCTCGCATGGCAAATGCAAAAATAGCAATCCATCGACTTTCCCGCACCACATGGGATGACATAACGAAACAAATGCCCTGGGCTTCGACTCCCACTTCATCTGCGTCCGCGCCTGTGAAAACCACCATACGACAGGAGAAGCAGGCGAAAAAGGCCAGAATGAAAACGGCAGTAAGAGCTTTTTGGGGAAGAATGAGGAGGCACATTGAGAATTGAGAGTTGCCATTTATTTTCTCTTGCCTGGTCTTTTGTTACGACTTGCACTTTTTTCCCACTGTCGCCCTCTCACTATATTTCTTTCTTCTCCTACTCTCAAAAGGCCGAGTTCGGAATTCAGGACGAAATCAAGGCACATACGAGGGACTCACAGGACCAACAACGATACGAGGGAAGGAGGACAACACCAAGGATTCAGGAACAAACCCCAGCGACCCTTTACATTTATTGCATTTACTGCACAACCCGTGCACACTACATTACACTACACTACTGTTGTTTTTCTCCCTTCTTCCCCACATCCTTGTCTGAACACCATACACAATCTCGGAGTTTTTACATGCATGTATGTATTGATTGGTATTGAGCGACAGCGGTATCAGGACAGGAAGATATAGAGAACCTGACCTAGCGGATCCCCGTCCATGGGATGGACGAAGGGATGACTGGATGGATGGACGGACTGGTGGATATCTCTGAATGAAGCGTCTTGAGCTATTATCTACGAGTACGAAGGATACATGTGATATTATATGTATGTATTTTGTATGAGGTACGAAAAAGGAACGAAACTTGACGGAGCGGATCATTATCGGTATGTAGGGTATATAGATGAAAGATGTTTATTCTCTGGAAACACCTACACCTACATCTCCTCAAAGTGCCGATGTCTCTGTCTCTGTCGCTTTCTCAATAGTCTACAGTCCGCAGTCTCTACTCGGTACAGTATAGGTCTAGGGCGCGAAGTAATGCATTACTTCCTACCTACCTACCTGTGTACATACACCTACCCTAGATTTCTTCTTCTTCTTCTTCTTCTTCTTCTTCTTCTTCTTCTTCTTCCTCTTCCTCTTCTTCTTCCTCTTCCTCTTCTTCTTCCTCTTCCTCTTCTTCTTCCTCTTCCTCTTCTTCTTCCTCTTCCTCTTCTTCTTCTTCTTCCTCTTCCTCTTCCTCTTCCTCTTCTTCTTCCTCTTCCTCTTCTTCTTCCTCTTCCTCTTCTTCTTCCTCTTCCTCTTCTTCTTCCTCCTCCTCCTCTTCCACATCCCCCGGGACCTGTTCTGTTCTGTTCTCTCCTGCTTGATTCACCGCTGCTTGGAACCGACTACCTTCCTTCCTTCGCTTTTCTCCTCCACCTCCCCATGCTGCTCGGTCCTCTGTAGGGATATAGCTCTGTCAACGGAAACGACGTGTTGGAGGGCGACGAACGTAGACACCAAGGCCATGGAAAAGAGTGTCATTTGCATGTATGCTAAATTGGACAAAGGCTGAGTGAGAAAATATTGGGCTCATCTATCTATATACAAACAAGCTCGACCGTCAGCTTGACGGCGGAGGCGGCGTTAGCGGTATCGGTGGTGGTGGTGGCGGATGCTGTCATTCCCAGTTGTCTGGTGGATTGTGCCTGTGCCTGTATTGTATGTGAAGTGCAGGATCACAGACCCTGTTGCCCTTGGTGTTGCCCGGCCTGTTCGTCCACATGTTGCCCTCGACGAGGCGGGCCCTGGTGCTGTGTGCTCATGTCTCGATGTTCCAACCCGCGCTTTACACCTCTGCCACCACAAACTGTACATCCTAGAGGCTGAAAAGAGAATGATAAAATCGGTTGTCGTCGAATCGAACCCAGTCCTCACGGCTCCTATACACAAGACGCCCTTTCGCTCAAGAGTCCAGAAGTTATTTTGTGCTCGAACTTTCCCCAGTCCATAATCAACCAAACAAGCTGGCCCCTCCGCTGCTCACCGCCTCAATCTCCTCTTCTGACCAAGCCTTTCGCCGGAACCTGGCGGGCAGCTCCTCCCTGTCGAAGAATTCCCCTTGTTTCGGTTTAATGGGCCCCAGTGCTCTTCCTGGGGTGCCTCCGATGGCGCCGTATGCCATTGACGAGCCCGAGGAAGCGGCAGTGGAGTACGAGGAAGATGGCACACCCCCGTTGCCACCGCTACCCCTTAGAGGACCATGTTGTTGGGCTTTGGACCGGTAAGCAGCGAAGCTTTCAGGGAGACTGTGGGTGGGCGAGGCAGGGTGGGCATGAGGAGTGTGGTCGACCGATTCTGCGGAGGGATATGCGCGTTAGTAGTTGTCAAGTGTGACGCGAGAGACAGAGAGGTACGTACTGGGTGCTGAACGTTTTCCAATAAATTTTATGAGGGGGGTGCGTTGGTGCGCAGAACGGAGAATGAGGGAGGGGCGCATGGTGGGTTGTTAGAGCTTGGTGTCGAGACTGTGCTCAGCAACGAGGTGTTCAAGAGCTGTAGACAGATCCCTATCCGTGCTTGGCTATATGTTCAAGTCGTCTACTGCACCTGTGAGTACTAGGTTGGGTTCTTTCTGCTTCCTCAGATCCGGCTGGCGATTTCTCGCGTGCAGCCTTTCGAGCGGCCGGTGCTCGGACAAAAGCAAAGAGCGAAGGAGGAATAGCACGTGGCAGAGGAGTTGCAGGCTGTTCTTTCGTATCTAGAGGGAGGACGGAGAATAAGGATCGGTTTATATACGGGAGGATTAACAGGTCAAGGCGGTCGAGCCTGTGGAAAGAAATATCGCTGACTGCTGCGTGGTTTATAGTTGCGAGGGTAGAGCGAGCTTCGGGGGAAGCTTTGTTGAAGCTGCTCAAAAAAGTTCGAAATTCGGAGAAAGGCGTAACGCCCTTGCACCCATCACATCGACGGGACGGCCTTGCTTTGCCGATTATTCGGGGAAGAAGCTTTTCCCACTTCAACTACGAGGCACCTCGTACACTCAGACTCGTGGTCTGGCTACTTCAGTCGCTTCCGAACCAGTTGTCTGACTCGAACTAATGGTTCATGAACTGTGCCTCTGGGTGTCTTTGCTTGATCTTTCTCTTGTGTCGATGATGTGCTCGCTTTGACTGGCCGCCAAGTCCGATGCTCTGCCTACACCGTCACATTTCACCCGACCAAACTTGAGAACATGTCCGCTCATTCCCCAGCAACGATACAGCACCCGCCACTACTCGGATGATGTGTCTCCTGACAGACTCCAACTGCCACAGCGACCCACGTCTCCCCCCGAGCACGACATACCGGCAGATTATTGAATCAACCCATCCACCGATTAATCAACGCCCTGAATACCTCGGATATACCAAATTCCTGAAACTCGCGTCGCCATGCACGAGTTTGCTCTCTACGGCCAAGTGCGCGAGCATGACCACCGTCGAATGCTCCAGCAACTAGCCGGATTCGCACGTATGCAACCCCAAGATGCCAAAGAGATCCACCTGGTCTTCAAGGCGCGCCAGCCTCCTGGAGTCGATCTCGTCCAGTCGATTGGTGCGTCTCATTTGGCCAGCCAGCAACAGCAGGACATGCAGCGTGTTAAGAACATGCTCAATGCCGGCCTCTACTATGTCCAACTAGTTGGTGAGGTTTCGTCGGAGAAACAGCCTAGACTTGCGGGAAATGGCGACGTGACCATGGCAAATGGCAATGGTGGCCAAAATGCACAAGAGTCAAGGGTGAGCTGGTCGTTTGAATTCAAGGACACTCCGGACGCGGGCAAGCAGGCAGTGAGCTCAAGGCTGATATCCAGGACGTCGATGACTGACGGCGACTTTGTCAAGTTTCTCGACCAGTTCGGCTATGAGTATGACCTCTTTTGTCTTTTCAAAGGCAAGATCCAGGACTGACGATGATGCAGCTACGTTTCTCGCTACATGGTTGTTGGGTCAAGGTTCTATGATCACGATACCACCATTTTCCTACACAAAGTACTACAACTCCCCCAAATAGCTGCAGATGAAGCTATCTCCGACAGGTCGTTCTTATCGAACATTGACCATCTCCCCGAGCTAGATAGCTCTGGTGGATATGCCCTCCAGGCATCGATTGATGTGGTTGATGGAAACAACCCAGAGCTTAAAGAGCGAGCAACTAGGCAACTACTGGCCATCAAGGAAGCGTTGAGGCAGGCAGTGGATCTGTCACCAGGCGACAGGTTGGCGCTGGATACGCGGCTACCTATCACTTCACGTAGAACTTGAACCCATTGGAAGATTAGAGAGCAACATGACGCCGATTATGGCAGGCAGCCCTGCCGCTCGAGGCGTTGCGGGCTCAGCCCGTTTCACGTGACGTGAATATAATGGGTAAATGACGTACGTCTTTTCAAACGCGTTGGTCGCGTCGATTTCTCTCAAGTCTCATCTCACCTTTCATCTCCAGCACTTGAAAAGATTGGCCAATTTTGACTATCGTTTTCAACACTCTCTCTTCGCTAACCCTGGCGTCTCGTTCATGGCTGACTCCATTGAGTCGCCTTACTCCTGTTTTGCGTACCCATCCTCAACTCTTTAGCACAGGTCTCTTCATACGGTCCTACACCATGAAACGATCAGCCCCTCCCCCGGCTGGCTCTATCTCCCCACCCCTGATTAGGCGTAAAATCGAATCGGCTACAACCAGTATGATTGGGAGAATGTTGTAACACCGTAAGATACTGACCAAAGCTAGGCAAGGCTGTGGCTAGTTTCTTCAAACCAGCGTCGCAAAAAGAACCGGAGAAACTCGTGTGGCGGACCGTTAACCACAGCCTCATCATTGGCCAGTACAACGTGCCCCAGAAACCACCTCAACCACGGACACTTCCTGTCAAGATCGCAGCCTTCGACCTGGATGACACTCTCGTGACTCCCAATTCTGGAAACAAATGGGCGAGAACTGCAGTGAGTTGGAAGTGGTGGGACCCATCAGTCCCCGGCCGACTGAAATCTCTCCACGATGATGGCTATCTCCTAGTCATTCTCAGCAACCAGTCAGCCATCAGTCTAAAAGATAATCCCAAAACGCTCAAAAAGGACATGGCCAGCCTGGCAAACTTCAAAAACCAGGCCAGTTCAATCCTGAAACAACTCGACCTACCAGTCAGTATCTACGCCGCAACGGGCCAAGATCGATACCGCAAGCCTCGAGTAGGGATGTGGGAGGAGATGCTAGAAGACCACGATCTTCACGCAGACGGAGCGGTGGACATGGCACACTCGTTCTATGTGGGCGATGCGGCCGGAAGAGACAAGACCGACAAGAGACGAAAAGATCATGCAACGTCGGACAGGTGCTCTCTAACATCACGCATTGGGGAAATAGTATGCTAATTGCCGCTAGGGATCTTGCCGCAAATATCGGCATTCAGTTTCACACACCAGAAGAATTCTTCCTCGACGAGACCACCGAACCGTACGAGCACGTCTTTGACCCAACAAAGCACCTTGAGCTCGCAAAGCCTTCTTGTTCTGCCGTGAGTGACGCAAAGGAAAGTTTGATATCAACGCCGTTCACGAAGAATAGCCCCCATGAACTGGTCATTTTCTGTGGGTCACCAGGGGCTGGAAAAAGCACATTCTATTGGAACGTACTCCAACCACTCGGTTATGAGAGAGTCAATCAGGACATCCTCAAGACTGTGAGTCTCATTCCTTGCCCTCGATTGGCAGTCTCCGTTTAGGAGACCGGATTCAGTAACACGACATCCTACCATTTTAGCCCCTCCCCTACATATGTGGACTTCATCAAGGGGAACTTGTTTTAAGCTGAGACATATTGCTAATTCCGTACAGCGCGACAAATGCATCAAGAAAGCAAAGGAACTCTTGGAAGCAGGGCTATCCGTGGCAGTTGGTACGTTTGTTCTTCTTGTTGTTCGAAGCGTTGGCCTGCTCAACCTCGCTTTTTCCTCGACAGTAGCACGCAGATCACTTGCTGGACAGGGGCAGAATGACATGTCATGCAGAAATGTTGTGCAGCGGGCTGTCTGTCGAGCCATGCATGAGATGTCACTTCTGCACCACTCTACACAGCATCTCGTGTTACCCTTGTCCCGTCACCAGTCCCAGACCTTCCCCAGATTCCGTCGTAACCACAATGACTCGGTCCCCTTGAGATAGGATCCACTCCTCACATGCGCCAGATTCTCATCTAGCCTGACTCCCTCTATCCGCTCTTCCCCGCCTCGTCCTCACATTTTGTCTACGTCTTTTGCTGCCTTTCACCGCATGGGACCATCCTCGTTCTTGCTAACTTTCGTCCTGGAATGGCAGATAACACAAACGCAGACACCGAAACCCGGGCGTACTGGGTAAAGGTAGCCCGTGAATTTAATGTCCCTATCCGCTGTGTCCGCTTCACAGCCTCGACTCGCCTCGCAGAGCATAACGATGCTGTGAGGGCAATGAATCCAAATACAGTGTGTACCGCTCCTTATATCAGATTTAGTGTATCGACAATTTTATCTAAGCTAGATACGGAGGGCTGACAACTTCTCATGTTCATAAACAGATGAACCCCGAAAATCGCACTCAACTCCCTGGTATCGCATTTCGGTCCTTCGTGCAGAGGTTCCAGGAACCTAGGCTCGAGGAGGGCTTCGAGGATATCTATAAGGTCGACTTTGAGGTCAGTCCTACGTCATCTTGTTTTCTCCAACTTTTCTAGTCCTCCACTCTGGTTGTCGCTTTTTACTGACGCGATGGGACATCAAGTTCAAGGGAACCGAGGAACAGAAAAAGCTCTGGTCCAGGTACTGGGTGTCAAAATTTTCGACGTGAGTGAGGCAGTGCAGAAGAACACGTACCTTGCGGCTCAGTCACAACTTCAAACCTCCAGCGACCGTTATCTGCGACATCACACATACTTCGACACGTGTAACAGTTTGTCTTGGCTACCTCCATGCTATCAGTGAGCCTGGATACATGGCATGGTACACTGCAGCTGTCACGATCTCAGTTTTACTACTTTTACCTTACACTACCTGACTCAAGCCCATCCATGCGGCGAAAGTTAGGAACGTTAACGTATGCTACATACCACATCAAGCACTGATATGATCCATGATATACCTGCAAAGCCACTGGAGACTGGAACTGCTGGTCGTCTGCTTGTGGCCTTCGATTGGTCTGCAGGTGAGAAAGACCCTACTCGGATACCTTTCGCGGCAGGTGGGCGCGGTTCAGAGCGAACAGGACACGGACCAGCAAATCTACTCGGCCGATGGTTCGTTTGGAGCTTTACAACTACTTTCTGTAGTGTGGGAGCACAAGGGAAGAACCACCAACGACAGACCTGTACCAAGATACCTCGACAAGATCGCACTGATTCCGGAATGTCACGGCCACCCAGGAGTTACTGATATGTGGACGATACAAGGACGTTACAAAAATCAAACGGGTCTATCGATAGTGCACAGAAAAGACAGTGCACCGCATCTTCATTGGTGGGAAAAGCCACTATCAACGCTCTTTGAGGCCAAGACGGTGTGTGATTGGGTGACACGGGTGGGAAAATCACGAATTCTACCACAGCACCGATACAATGTCGTGATTGCGGTTAACCAGGTCTTGGTTTGCCGACCATCGGACCCACAGGCCAACAAATTTCACGCCTCTGAGACGGATGTTGTTTGCCTCGAGGTTTTCATCGAGGGAGGGAGCGAGCCCCGGTGGGGAAAGAAGCTTCTGACCGCCGCGACAAGACCTCAAGACTCAAGGGATATGATGGCGCGTTTGTTATTCGAACCCCCAGCAAAAGTGCGATGTGCGCATGTGGAAGCTTCTGGCAATCCTTGCGTCGCTGGTAGATTTAGCGGACGCTCCCCGGTCAGAAACCTCATGGCATGCAAATGTGGAGATGGAATAGACTTTTCCTCCGATGACTATCGATTGCGGCTTTCCCCAACGATTGCAACATCCCTGCCCATTGGAGACCGTTGCCTCGTCTCGGAGGTTTCAAATGCGTTGTGGCTGCAAGTCCCAGACAAGAAGACTGAGATATACATCCGAAGCTACTCGGTACAGCTTGTGGATTCCTTGCGAACCAGGAACCAGGTACCTCTTGTACATGTAGTGTGCGGCAATCATCGAGACTCGGAGGATGCTCGGTCCTTGTCTGACTCCTTCAATAGCATTCGTGGGCAGTAAATTTAGTCATTGAACGGTGAGATGGAAGGCGGGGGCCCTTGTCTCAATCCTTCAAGTTGTCCATGCTGAAAATATATCTCCCAAGTCTTCGTTCTTACTCTGCGGATTTATTGTCCATTACAGGAGCAATGATGCCATGCGTCTGGACGAATGACGATAGCGGCGATTACAGTGGAGCGATTCAACGCAGGTAGGTACTCGTACTATTTGCAGGCAGGCAGGTCAAAGATGGAGAGGGAAAAGGGACCAGGAGATGACATTGAGGACCACGAATAACGAGCTGGTGAACATGTCCTGAACGCAACCGATTGGCCGTTGCAGCCAATTTAGCGGTCGGGCAGTTTTTTTGGACCTTGCGAGGACGAGGGGTTCGCTTCGCATCCTTCGTGGTTTTCTCGCGAAGCTGTGATGCTGGTCAGTCATTGCCTTTGAGGAAAAGGAGGAGAAGCGGGCCTGACTGACACCTGCATGTCCGATACTCCCACAGGTCATATATAGCTCAAGACACGGGGGAATCCTTGAGAAGTGCTGTACCTACATGAGCCCTTGGGAGGAAGATAGAAGTGGTCTTTGGGACTGTACCGAGTACAAGGTGCCGAAGGGAGTGCTACCAGGGGTACGAGGTAGTATTGGGTCGCTTATCGCGTGCAAACTCTGCAAGTTGGAGACAGGCCAGTCGTGAATCACCCCATGCATCAATACAGAAGGTGGGAATGAGAATGGTGCACTACTTCACACTACGATGAGTGGTAGATACTAGAACGAACAGAATGTGGTCGCACTGGCTACTACTAGGTACTGGGTATATCTGATACCGTTCACGGTTCCTGCATCCAGCTACTACGCCAGTGCCTTGCAGAACAAGCTAGACCAGGCACTCAACACCCTCTAGGTAGCCCTCCACCACGGGCGGAAGCATGAAAGCGGCACGGGTGAAGGCACAAGCGCCATCTCACAGCGTTTGGTGGCATGGGCTTGCATGGGCTAGGACAGTGCTAGACAGCTGCAACAAACAGCGGCTCCGGACTTTGGAAAATAATAATCTGTGTCTTGGAACTGCTTGGTCCACAGGCTGGATTCCGCCCACTAGAATTGCTTGCTGTAGCTAAAGCCGGACAAAACGACGCATGCGACAACCCGGTCGTTGTACCTGCAAGGCAGCCTCAGCCGTCACTTTCTCTTAGCTTTTCTTTTCGTATCTCTAGAAGGAGAGGGGGGCTGGTAACAAGGGACCAAGAGAGGACCAACCGCAAACACTGCCGACAAGCCACAAACCTCATCGTCAGTGGCTCTCTGGCTTGCTTGCTTGAGCATGCCACATCCCCCATGTCCAGCAAAGCAGACAACACCCTCCCCCAGCTACTCGGTACAGAGCTCACACAAATATAGCCTAGACATGTCGCAGTAGAAGCCGGTAGTGCGCACCAGACCAGCTCTCTTCTCAACTTACTCGTCTTCTCTTGCAATCCAAACGGTTCTCCTAAACCCATCCTACCACCAAGCTGGACAAAGCACCCACGGCTCCTCTCTCGGTCGTTTGTGAAGGAATAGGTGGTGCGATTGGATAGAGACTCAGAGAATTTGAGTGTATGGGTGAGTGAAAGATCCGAACACTAGAAGTGGCAGTGAGCTTTGTTTGGCGATCCGGACTGTGCATGCCTCACCCGTTGTCGTCGGTGGCGGCCATTCTGGTTCTGGAAAGCCCTGATTCGAGCCCTTGCTTCCTGTTGCCTCTGGGTGGTTTGGGGCTTTTCCTATCCTGGCCGGGGCTCGGTGGACGGGGCTCGACGGGTTTGACGCGGGGGCTTCTTATCCCAGGTGGGCTGGTGGCCGTTCAGTTGCGGTTGGCTGTGGGTGGCTGTTGGGTGGCTGCTGTTGAGTTTTGAAAGTCTCAGAGACCAAGACCAAAACTAACAGGGTCAGACCCTTGCCCCCGCAAGCGAGCAGCGAAGGATTGGCCACAAGCGACGCTGCATGGAGTCGGCCCAACAGCTGCCACAGCCAACGGGCCCAGGGCCACGGCACACAACTTTTTCCTCTGTCCACTGAGCACTCAGGCTTCTTCGCTCCAAGTTCGACTTGTCAACATCCCTCTCTTGCTTCCTCCCTTCTGTCTGTACACATGGCACTCGACTGATGGAACCTTTGCAAACAGGCAGAGCGTCCTCTCCTCAGCCTCGACCAGTCAATCTGTGTCTGGCCTGAAGCACTCGCTCTTGATTGATCCAGCCATCACCACCGCCGCCACTGCGAGAGCAAAGCTGCCATCAACCTCAACCACCGAGACAAACCTCGTCCGCTACCCAATTCACTTGAGACCACCTTCACCAGCCCGTCATGCGCGCAGCTGTCCGACTGTGACGTGACCCAACCCGGTCTCAGTCCTCTTCGATTCTCTTTCCTCTTGTTATCGAACACTCGCTCGACTGATCCAATTCGCCCCTACTCTTAAGAATAATATACCCTCCAACTACCTATACCTCAGTATGGAACATACCACTCCATATTCCTTCGACACGCTGCCTCCTGCCACTCGGTCTTCCGCCTCTTCAGTCGATACATCCTCGCCAACGGTGTCCATGTTCTCCAAGGGCCATTCTTCCCGAGGTTCGGGCTCCTCCATTGCCTCGTCTCCCGTTCCCCGAGAATCTCTTGACATGTTTGGTGTGCCTAAGCGGTTGGAAGATGTCTCTGAGGAGCCTCAGGAAAGAGAGGGGATTGACGGTTACGGGTTGGTCAATGACGGCGCATGTGACTGGAGTGACTATGACAAGGCTTTTTCAAGTGACTACAGCCACTTTCCACC